TTTGTAGAACTGTATCAATAATAAGCTGAAGATGACAACATGAAGTAGCTACCTCAGAATTACAAGCATAAATCTTTGTTTATCTTTCCTTTGTCATGCATGCATACACAGCTGCTTCTGAATCTATTCATTACAGCAAAATCCAGAACTCATACAGGCCTTTAGCTCTTGCATACGTTCAGACACTAAAGTGAAAAGGACAGATTAAGAGATAGCAAAACCCTCCGGTAAAATATCTTTTTTAACACCTTATGCTTTTACGGACATAACCTCTCATTACATCAGCATCTCCACAGCCAGAAAGATGACTGTATTTTTTTTTTTTTTCAGATGGGCAGAAAAAAAAAAAGGCAGCATTTAAGCAACTTAGCTCAAGCTATGCAGCAAGCCTATGACAGAGGCTAAAGAGGCTAAGGGAGAGCCTTACAGTTAACAGTTCCTCTTCTTTTCATAAACTACAGTTCCAGGCATAGCAAATCAAAGTCCTTCTCTGAGAAACGTGAACTCAAAAAATCTGTCTGGGTTTTATTACTATCCGTTCACCACGGTATCTCAGAAAAACAACAAAGACATTCATGCTGTATCACACCATATGTACATAGAGCATAACTAACATTATTATGAACTATTTTCTTTCTATTATGGTCAACAAACACATAGTACCCAAAGATCTAGATGAAATTATCACAAATATTTTAAAATTTGTACAGCATTTCAAGTGTGCCATGAGCTTTGTACAGACATAGAGGCTGTACCTATAAAGAGTCTGCAGGTTAAACAGATCAGATAAATGGGGCTCTCCATCAGTCCTGGACACAGAAAACAGAAATATCAGCATGACTGACAACATTCCATTAATGACCGCAATGGAGAATTCCAAGTGAGAAAACTGTGAATAAGGAGAATTAAGGGCACAGTGATTACAGGATCTTCCAAAAAGAAATGGAACAATTTAATAACCAGGCTATAACTTTCTTCTTATAAAGCTAAGCTTCCTATTTATAATATAAGCGTTTGTGTTAAGGAACCAAATGTCTGCATTAGGTTCTCAGTGAACTGCAGCCGTAGGTAATGCTCTAAGTATTACTGGGGTAGCCAACTACAGAGAATGACCATCAACATACTTTTTTTTTTTTAACACCTTTATTTGTAATTACAATGCACTGTTGATCCTTTTTCCATTCCTCTCACACAGTGCTTATACCATTGCAAGGAAGGACAGAAGGAAGGAGCCTCTAATTCCTAAAGGTCCTATTTAGGAGTCATTGACTTGCAAACCTACAATTGTTTGTCTTTCTTGAGAATGTAATGGGTGAAATGTAGAGTATCAAGCCTAAAACAGATTTCACCCTGAAATCAGCAGGCAGGAACACTGAAATACATGACATAGTGCTATATAGTACACATGTATTTAGAAATAAATCCCAAAGGCAGAAGCAAATCAAATTACCCTGATACATTCAAGCAACAGAGGGAAGCAGGTAATGAAAGAGTAATATCTGCTCTCTAAATATTAAGCTGTTATGTCTTTATTCGTTCTTTCCATATTCTTTCTTTTTACCTCCACCTGTACTTTCAGCTTATTGGCTACAATGAGGTAAAATTCCTTCTGCATTAAAAAGGTATTTTAATACCTGCTTGCAATCCCAGTAATCTCCTTCCTATTCCAGCTGCACCATTTTTTAACCCTCTGTGAGGGGCCAATGACACAGCAAGCAGTTTTCTGATCAGATTTTTTTCCAGCAGTAGGAGCATTTACCATCACAAGTTCTTGTCAGTCCTTGCAAAAATGAGAAAACTCTTGTACTACCACGGGCATTTTTGAGAGCAATGCTACTTTTTGCTTTTACTGACCCTTTTTTCTTAGAAAGTATGTTAAGAAAAAAGGAGCTTGACATACTGTGTACGCATTTTTTTTTTTACTTTCTCAGGCAAAAAGGAATCTGCTTGCTTAGTGACTGACTTTTCTAGGCTGATGACATTAAAGGTATATTTGCACACCACAAAAATCTGCTGTGGTCTTTCATTCATTTCTCAGATCTTCAATTCCAGGATTGTACAATAAGAGGGTACAGTTATCGCTTCAACTCATGTAAGAATTGGGAAAAATATAACCTCATTAAAATGAAGCCTTTGACTAAATTATACTATTCTTTTCTGGACTTGAAATAAAAAAATCAAATATACTGAGAAAGAGGATTAAATGGAGCATAAAGTAAGCAATCTAAACTGCAGATGCTTTCCAGTATTTGACAATGCAACTTATATTTGAATGTCCTGAAGAATAATGGTATGATCCTTGGCTATATCCAACCTTTTACACCCTGTCTTTCCTCATGCAAAATTTCAACTGATTTTATTCGGAGTTCTCCAATACCTTATTTCTGTTCTAATAAAAAATACAATCCTAAAACAAAATGTCATATGCTTTGTATACTATGATGCTTTAGGAAATAAGAAGGGAGGGTATATTTTTTCCAAGATTACAGAACTTTATTTCAGATAACATCAACAACTAAACCTGTTTGACATGCAGTCTGAAGTATTAGTAAAAAATACTAATCATGAATTTCAGAGCAACAGTTGTAGAAGTCAGTCCTAGTTTACTCTTGCAAGTCTGCAGTGAAATAATTATCCATTTGATAGGTAAGAGACTGTAGCTGCTTGAGATTGACTGAGATGGGTGAGGCCAGGATGAACCGTATGTAAGCGTGCAGTAACTATACCCTTTTTAGATTGCTAAATTCAAATACATTTTCAGTATGAATATGGGCTTTTGACTTCAAGGAAAGAAAAGTGTCCTGAAAAAAACTGCTGTAATTTGGTCGTTTATTGCACAGTTTATAGTATTTATTTTGTTAGTTAACCAAAACACTGTTTCTACCACGTCTGCTAATGATGAATAACACCCTAGCGCTGGACACTGGAATTTCTCGATGACATCTACTCTTTAATAAAGTTGTCTTCCATCTCCTCTCCCTGAGTCCATTCCTTTACCAAAAAGGCCTCTAAGGACAGCAAATCAAATTAAAATCTGAAATGAATTTTTTTCACCAGCTTGCTGCAATTGTTTGTGATACCCTCCAATACCCTTCTAGCCAGGACTTTTAGATAATTTTTTGAAAACATTTAGCAACAAGACAACTATAGGATGCAAAATCTGGCAAATAAAAAAACCAGAACATTTCCAGAGAAAACACGGATCCAAAGCCAGGCAGCATAACAAAACGTTAGCTCACATCTATTCTACATGGCAACATCAGTCAACATGTATAGGAAAATCACCTCTGCAAAAAGTGACAGTGTATTTATTTAGCTACATTAAACCAATTCCCTTTTAATAAAATTGAAATTATTGTGTACAGAATACAATACAGGTTCAAGATGAACCTCAAACAGTATCAACTGGCTCAGATCAGAAAAGATACAAACCTGTCTCATTGACATAACAAATACTAAAACACCCTGCAGATACTAAGAATCCAGCTAACCTAACAGTACAGAGGGGCAAGGGGACAAATGCTATTTGTAACTATGTGCTACACTCAAAAATTGAGCTGAATCCACATAGCACACGATCTGCCATCACAGAGAACAAATTAACAAAACTGGGTTGAATGCTTTAATAGTGAGCCAGACTCTCAAAGACGAACCAGCCCAATGAGGCTAATCTATTGAGGTCCTCTCAACAGTCAGGAAGGGAGTGAGAAAACTTACATATGGTTATGAAGGGAGGTTGAAATTAGCCATTATTAGTTACCTCCTGGAGGAGCCTTTTTCTCCACTGACTACAAAATACACCAGGGAAATTAACCATAAGTTAAAGTTAAGTTTTACAAATAGGTCCTACTATGTACTATACAAGATCACAGAGGACAAATGTCCGGTGTTAGGAGATGAGAAGACTTGAATCCATTTGCAGAAGAAATGAGAAAATACATAAGCTATTTATTTATTACACTGGAGTCAATACAAAACATTCTTAAAATTTAGCTAAAGTTTCTCTTCCTTTAGCTCTAGGTTCAAAGACTTGCTAAGTAAAAAAAAAAAAAGAAAAAAAAAATCAGGGATGTAATCTTCAGTACATAAACAAGAAATGTTGGGAAGCTATGCAAAATATAATCAATTCTGCTTCCTAGTTGCAAGACGGCCCTGAAGGAATTAAGCTGTTCAAGCCAATCCCTTGAAACACTTGGTTAAGCCCAGATTCACCAAGTCTTTAGAAAAGACAACAAGGGAAAAGCAGTCAGGGAAATACTTTACTACCTGAAGCCTTACAAGAAGTTAAAAGCATGAGCAGTCCTTTAGCATGGAAGAATCACCAGGGTTAGTGATCTTACACATCAGAAAAGAGAAATCTGTGGGCCTGACACAGATCTTGAAGAGACAGCAAATAGGCCCTCTCTTAAATGGGCTTGTGCATTCAGACAGGCTTTTGTTATCTTAGAAGGGAGGACCCTTCTGGGTTCACAGAGAGAGCGCTAAGCCAATTTGCCACCAGGGCAAACCAAAGCAAGAACCAGATTACTGCAGCTACCAAACAGGAACAGCTCTACTCATCCCCTCACAAGCATTCTTTTTAAGGGAAGGGATGGAATGTCAGCCAAGCACAATAAGAAATTCAGCAGATAATGCCTTTGCTCTCTAAAGAAGTAATCAGAAACAGCACAATAAAACCAAATAGCCCACAAGTTCTCAACAACATCTGGTGCAGAAAGCTTCATCTCCAGAAGCCATAAAAGGTTTATCTTGCCATCCTTTTATATGGCAATATGTTGTAAGTTTTCTGTCTTTGTGGTCTCTTCTTAGCATTTATTCCTGTGAATATCTCTAATTTTACACTGTTACTAAATAAAAGGACTTCTTTTAAAGCATAGTCCTGCAGCCATCGCATCCACAACCAGGATATAAGGCTGAAGGCTGGGTTTCGATTCTTGATCATGAGTGATGTGCATGTGATTAGCAGAGAAACTTGCAATCATCCCAGCTGGATCTCATACCTCCTCAATTGTTCTTCGCTGTCCACATCTCTTAGGAGGAAGGACAGGTCAGACAGGACCTGCAAGATGGCAGCAGTCCCCGCAGCTATCACACTAAGATACACAAAGCATTGTTAATTATAATGCAATCAAAGTGCAAGTCCCTGAGCTCCACTACGTACAAATGAGATTTTCTGTTACCATGATCACCTTCTATTAGCTTATGTCACCTCCTGCAGCACCTTATGTGCCAATGTTGTAAGAGCACTTCATAGGCT